CTGGGGAATCTCACCCTGGGAGGAGCAGGGTGAATGAAGCCCAGGATTTGGGCAACAGCCCCTGGGGACACCACTTTCAAAGCTTTCACCCCTCCTGCCCTTCTCCCACCCTTTCCAACTTCTCCTGACCTTGACGTTCCACCTTCTTGACACTGGATGGTCAACACTGACAGTCCTGCGGGGCTGGAGAAGCTGGTTTTGGTCCCTGCTTTGGATACAAGGAAGGAGAAGATTTTTCTGCTGAATCCGGCTTAATATCTGCCATTTTCCCACCAGGACCTCTTGTGAGTCAAAAACCTTCATGGTATCAGCAAGAACATACCCGTTTTAAGGCTTTTTGTTGAACCCCATGGATTTCAGCCGAGTTGTGGGGTGGGAGGAAGGAGAGATGAACAGAATGAGCTGGAACTTTGCCTTTCTGCAAATTATAGATATTCTTTTGGGTCAGGAAGCCTAATAAGCAGCTTTATATCAGGCGAGGATGCTGGAAAGAAGGGGCAAGACCCATTCTTGAAAGTCAAAGGCCTTGAAAAAGCCAGGAAAGGAAGGAAAAGCTCCAGTCCGGACCTCTCAGCTCTGTCCCCGCAGCTCAGAGAAACCTGCTGGGACCTTGGAGGGTCTTGGAGGCACCAGCAATCTCCAGGGACATGGGAGGATCCCTGCTCCAGAGCAGTCTCGGCAAGGTGTTGGTCTGATGGCCCATCTTATTCCAACAGCAAAGCTGATGTCGCAAGGGTCAGGAGAAGCAGAAACTGCTTCTGACAGCCAGGAAGGGCCAGCTCTTCAACGAATACCACATCTCCCTTATGAGGAGAGGCTGAAAGAGCTGGGACTCTTTAGTCTGGAAAAGAGAAGGCTGAGGGGAGACCTTATTAATGCTGACAAGTATCTCAAGAGCGGGCTGAGGGAGCAGGGAACTAGACTCTTTTCAGTAGTTGCCGGTGAGAGGACAAGGGGCAATGGGCACAAGTTGGAACATAAAGGGTTCCACTTCAATATGAGGAAGAACTTTTTCACGGTGAGGGTGACAGAGCCCTGGAACAGGCTGCCCAGGGAGGTTGTGGAGTCCCCTTCTTTGGAGATTTTCAAGACCCGCCTAGATGCAGTCCTGAGTAACATGCTCTGACAAGCTCTGGGTGGTCCTGCTTTGGCAGGGGAGTTGGACTAGATGATCTCTATGGTCCCTTCCAACTCTATAATTCAGTGAAATTCAGTGAAACCTGAACCCTTCAGGTGACCCAAGAGATGCTGGAGTCCTCCCAAAAAGCCCTACAGAGCCCCTCCTGAAGGGGGCTGAGGTCCTTCCCAAGCCCTGGCCACGTCCTGTCACCCCTGACGTCTCAGAGGCAGTTTCAGCCACCGCTTGTCTCCCACCCACAGCTGCACCACAACCTCTCTGAGGTGCCACCAGGGCCTGAAACTCCTCTTCCACCTGCTGTTGAGTCACCAAATACCACCGGACTCCACTGATGGGATGTGGCTTTGGAGACGGAAAAATCCCAGCGCCTCTAGGAAAGAGTGAAAATGGGGTGGGCATCTCCGATCCCTGTCCTCCTCAGCTGTCCAACTGTTACTTCCTGGAGCAATCTAAGTTAATGTATGGCCTGAAGCCCTGCTGGGAAGGGGCTGGGTCTCAGAGTAACCAATGGTGTAGAACCAGGAAATCTCTCTCCTTCCTCTTTCTTCAAAATCGAAACCAACTTGGAGACTGAAGCTGCGACGGTCGCTCTTCATGGCAGCCAGGACGCCTCTGGAAATGCTCCAGGATGAAGCCTGCTGCTCCATCTGCCTGGGAATATTCCAGGACCCCGTGTCCATCCACTGTGGGCACAGCTTTTGTCGGTCGTGCATCACTGAGACCTGGGAAGGACTGACCACCAACTTCCCCTGCCCCCAGTGCAGGGAGACAGGGAACCAGAGATTCCTCCGCCCCAACTGGGAGTTGGCCGAGGTGATTGAAGCAGCCGAGAGATTGAACCTGCAACCAGTCAGAGAGGTGGAAGGAGGGGAGAACTTGTGTGAGAAACACCAGGAACCCCTGAAGCTCTTCTGCCAAGATGACAAAAGGCTTATCTGCCTGGTGTGCGACAGGTCCAAGGTGCACCGTGACCATTCTGTGGTTCCCATGGACGAGGCTGCCCAGCAGTACAAGGTGAGGGGGTTATGGGTGTGTTGAGGTACAAGGGTCCAGAAGCTCCTGGGGTTGCACTTTGATGGGTGGAGATCCCTCCAGAGCCTTTGGCCTGTGGGATAGACCCCCTGTGGACTCACCCATCCTTGGCTCCTGCTACAAACTCTTGACCTGGCATTGCGTGCCCTGAGGAAGAGGTGGACATAGGAGCAGTACGCCCTTGGGGACCAAGGGGTCCTCTCCCCCAGGGTTCAGCCACGAGCAGGGCCTTAGGAGAGGGTAGGAAACAGAGGCGTAGGATTTCTCCCCACCACAATCCCTCTGCAAAACTCCATCAATGGCTCTGTCCTCTGGGGTGCAGGTCCCTTATCAAGGTCAGAACTGCTGAAGATCAGTAGGAAAGGAGAGGGAGAGATCCTCAGACCTTCTCCCACCCCACAGGTCCCTGGAAAAGTTTTGGTCTTTGTCAAAATACCAAAAGACAAAAAAGGGGGAGGTAAATTGCCTTAAAACTGTCATGGGGATCCCAAAACTCTGCCAACACTTACCCCCAGAGCCACCAGGAGTTCCCCAGCGCTTCTGCTGAGGCTGCCAGACCACGATGCCATTCCACAGGGGACTTCTTTCTTTCCTTCCTATCAGAAACAACTTCACACCCAACTGCACCTTCTGAAATCAGACCAAAAAGCGCTTCAATCTTCCGTGAAGGACAGAGAAGACAGACTCAAGGACCACACTGTAGGTGCCCATCAGTTTTCCTGGGCAGAGGGTGGGGAAAGAAAGAGGGAACGTCTCCTCCTCCTCCTCCTCTCCCGCTGGGGTGGGTGATGCTCAGGGGCTGTGGGGAAGGGAGAGGGGGTTTCTATCTTCCCCAAACGCCTCTTCTTGGTGGGTCCCACGAAGGCAAGGCCCACCCTTGACCCTTGATGCTCTGCTACTGTTCCCTGCTGCCCTTTCCCTGCTTGGGCTTCCCTTGGCAGGAGAGGACAGAAGCTGCAAAGTAGGAGATTGTGACAGCATATAGGAAGATGCACGAGTTCCTGGAGAAGCAGGAGTCCTCTCTTCTGGCCCAGCTGGAGCAGCTGGACACAGAGATAAGGAAAGCCCATGAAGAAATTCTCCAGAGACTTTTGGAGGAGACAACGAGGCTGGGCACGCTGATTGGGGAGATGGAGAGGACGTACCAGCAGCCAGACTGGCAGCTCCTGAAGGTGAGAGCCCAGGCTTTCCAAACTGGCTGGGAAGGCCCACCTTGAGCTTGGTCTCCAGCCCTCCCTTGTCTCCCCCAACCCGCTCCAAGAGGGACTTCCTTAGAGTGAAATCCCAGTACTCCAAGGGAAGGTGTTCCATCTCACTGAGTCTCTTTCTCTCTCTCCTCCAGGACATCAGAATCACCTTGAGCAGGTCTGTGGTCCTTCTCCTGTCCCCATGTCACCACCACAGAGCAGCTCTGTGGCAGGACACGGGGAGAAAGCACTTGGGGACGGGTTGGCTCTTCTGCAGTACAGCCCTTGGGCTTGACCGAGGCCACGGGGGGTTGGAAGGAGGGCTCTGCCTCTCTCTCCTGAATGAATGATGAATTTGGACCCGGGCGGGCAGGAGGCAGGAGCAGGGAGTGCTGAGAAAACACGGAGCAGCAAACTCCAACCAGGTGTAAATCCATCCCCTCTTCCCTTCCAGGGGCCAGAGGGAAACGCTCTCCCACTCACTCCAGATTTCCCCGGAGCTGGAAAAGAAATTCTCTGACTTCACCGACAGGAACCCAAATATCAAGGAAATTCTGGAGCAATTTCAAGGTAGCAGGGGCAGGTCTAGAAAGGCCAATGCCATCGTGCTTCTTTGTGGTGAGGGATGGAGTGAAGTCAGGGGAAAGAAAGGCATCCTGGGTGCTGAATGAGGGGTTATTTCTTTCAAGATCCCACAAGGAGACAGAGAACGAGCAGCGAGCGTTGGTCTGATGTTCCCTGCCTGTCCTCCTCCTCCTCTCCTCTGCCTCCTCAAGTTTCTCGACCTTCCCCCAAGCCTGTTCCTGACTCTCTCGACTTTTGCAGAAACCCACAATCAGACCAACTGATCTTTGTGTTTCTCACTTTTCTGTCTTCCCTCTAGTTTTCCTGGACTTTGAGACTCCCTTGAAAAGTAAGTGAACTGTACGTGTGCCAAACCAAGCCATCATATGAAATCAAAAATATGGTAAAAGAAGCTTTTCTGCCCTCAAAGATGGACCTAAAGTGTTCTGCTGCCTCCTTTCCCCATTCTCCCACCCTGGTCCCACCAGCAGATGATGCCTGGAGGGGTCCCAACCGGGTCTGAG